CGATTATTTGTTAACCAAAGCTGTCACACTTCGCCCACATAAAAAGCGACCGCAAATGTAGTAGTATTTCCAAGTGTGGTAAATAAATTATTCACAAACTCTAAAACACTCATTGCATAACTAACTGATTAATACTGATCAGCTCCGTTGTCGCTGAAATTCAGTTATTCCAAAAAGCCTTATTAATCTTTCATGCAGTGTTGTGTGTGTTTATATATGATAAGATAGGAAAAGTATTAAACTAGGATACATGTGAAATAATTATAAGAGAAACACTCATTTATTTTTGAAACAGAATAAGAAATACACAAATTTTCTATTTCTAATTTAATAAAGAGTGGGAAAATAGTCAACTTATATAATCATTTTCAACTTCATTTAAGGAAACCCTGAAATGATAGCGGCAATGTCTGATGTTTACTCGAACAAACTAAAATGGCAAAACGAATTCCTACCTGCATCTATGATAACTTTTGATATTAGTGATGTATTCCGTAATTATCAGTATACCATTCGACCACGTACAAGCAGCGGTATATGGAATACTCCTCCTGGTGCTTCAAAGAGTTCTACTGGTCGTTCAATTATAAAGAAGATACTCTTATGAATACACACTAAGTTCTCAAAAACTTGTACATTCCCTTTTTATTAACATTTGTTTGTGTACTCCTGTTATATCCCCTACTTCACTAACTTTGCTTTTATTACTTATATTAAATTATTGGATATATGTATAGTTCCAATTATACATAATCCTTCCAGTTGTTAAAAAATTAACCTTATCGTATATTCATGTTAAGATTTGTTAAATATCTTATGTGAGTTATTTTCCTAATGATAGAACGGCATATGTGTAGTGTTACTGTGTTTTATCTTTGTATTCTTGTCTTCTGGGTGTAAAAGTAAAACAATAGCTCGAATTTCAGATTTTAACGAAACGTTTATTAAGTAATTGGATAGGCTTTTGTAAAAAGTCGTTGATAAATATATCGTGTTGACTACCCAGTAATGTTTGTCAACATTATCATGTTAACGAAGTGAAAGCTAGATAAGGAATGCCTAATAGAGACTATTTCATTTAAGATCTCCAGGTATTAACGTGTAGGCCCATTACCGTATATCAGAATACAAATAGACTTTGGTCTGCATAAAGTCACTCGACAACAACGAAAGCTTTGAAAGTCTAAATAAGCAAGTTTTAGTGATGTAGGTAATAAAAACACTGGCGTGACTACTTCAATATGAGTGTAACAGTTAGTGTAAAATTACCCTACAATTTCATTCACGTGCGACACTTATGACAGCTATGGTGTATTTCTAGTCTAAGATGCAGACTTGAGAAAAGCACACGGGATTCGTTCCATCCTATGGATTTATAATATATCAGCTACTAATATGATTATTTGATTGCAACTTTTTAGCTCAAAACTTATCAGTCTGATATGATTCTCTTGATTAATAGAAGCTTATTCCTGAAACATTGGGAATCTGGTACAAGTGAGTCCTTTAAACACTTCCAATATATATTAGTTGCATTATGAACAATTTTCATATCATAATGCATTAACTCAAAGAATTCTTCAGTTGATTATTTGTCGCTATGTTTAGCTTATACAATGGTAATAGGCAGTTGGTGTGTAGGGCTGCTTAACTGACTGATCAGAGGATTATCCGATGGGTACTACATAATATAAACGAATGTACATGCAGTCTCCAGTGTTCACGCAATGTCACCGGTCTGGGGATCAACATTTCATAAGTGGACTTACAGATCTAACTTCGCGTGTAGCCCTTCTAGAATTACTGTCCATCTCAAGGCTGGGTAGAGGTAGGTTGGACATGGAGTCAGCAATCTCATCCCATAAAAAAAACCTTGCAACAAAAACACTAACCAGAAAAGTCGATTAACCCTCTCTTGTGAGTTGAATGATTTTCATTCGAAAAATTAGGATCAGTCATGATGGAAACATTCTTCGGTAGTAACGGCTCATTTCCCAACAACTAAACTCTGGTTATGGAGAACTAAAAGCTCCGCACACTCGAGCAGTTGGTCTGACGCTATCCAGAGAAGCACGAAAAGCAAATACAAGACGGAAATATCATGAATCCTGGACCATCAAAGCGTCCTTCAAAACAAGGGAGGGAATCACAATGTTATCCAGTGCTATGTGCCCATCAATCATAGCGATGAAGACGATAAAGATCAGTTTCATGACGGGCTGTAGTTGAAAATGGAAAAGTGTCCAAGAAGGGACCAGACCATCCTGATGGGAGACCTAAACACCAACGTTGGAGTAAACAACACCGGGTTTAGAGATATAATGAGACGACATGGAGTGGTATAAAGGAACAAGACTGGTGAGAGATTTGCAAATTTATGTGCAGTCAACAAAATTGTTATTGGTTGCACTATATTTTCTCACAAGCACATACATAAGCTACTATGGTCTTATCGGATCATACTACAGAGAATCAGACCGATTATATTTACGTTACTAGAAAATTCAGAAGGTCAATGGGAGATGTGAAAACAGAGAGTGGGGTTGACATAGCTTCAGATCACCACCTGATTGTGGTCAAAGAAGCACTGGACAGCTGAGAAAACAGCATTACAAAGGTTCAATACAGACTTCCTTCGACATACTGACAAATTCAAAATAGCTCTCAGCAACAGGTTAGAAGATCTACTCAACGAAGAGGAAACCATTATGAAGGACAACTGGAAAGGGGTCAACGCGTCAGGAGGTTGTGGGCCGCAAGAAGCATTATCACATAGAATGGATCTTTATCGAAACCCTGGACAGGACTCAAGAAAGAGGAAGAATATAATTAACAAGTCGAACAAGAACAGAAAGGGTCAAGGCACAGACTGAAAACACAGGAGCAAACAAGAGAGTGAAGATCTTTAGAGCTGACAAGCAGAAATATTAAATTGTTTACATTACGCGAATAAACTACAAAATGCATCGAAGCTTTATAAATTCTATTTTTCTAAGCATAGGGATAACTACAAACAAATTATTAATCTCCAAGTTTTGTTTCCGCTGAAGATAAAACAAGTGATGAGCGAATTCCGATTTTTTCAAAGATGACGTAAACTCAGAGTTCTCTGGATTCTAAGAAATGTGACCATGTTATAATTATGAGCGTTGGAATGAGTCAACTTCAATTTAGAAAATACTGATGTTCTAGTCAAAAACATCTGTTCAATCCAAAGATGCATGGTTAATAGTAGTGTACGGTGGTGTATTTATAAAATGCAATCATGTATATCACGAATTTACTAAATATTAAAAACATATTTGAAAATTCAATGACTTATCCTACTAGTCATCTTAGTATACATTACAACGACGTATACTGAACTTACATATTAACTTCTAAGTATACATAAAAATGGGATTTACTTGCCAAGAACACCTTTATATATCTGGCTTTGAATCACATTATGTTTGTGCGGGCATATTAAACTACCCAGTTAACTAGACTGTGATTGAAGCAGAGTTTGAACATGGAGCATGTAATGGACTAGATATTTTGAGTTGTTTAGATTATTAATTTCCTAAATACAATTACTACTATTACAGTTCACTTTCGGAATGTGCTTCTAGTATGTTTACAATTGCCGTTCAAATCTAAACTACAAACATAGATTTGTATCCGCCATTTACAAACAATGAGCACACATTTATCTGACTCACAATTGACATTATAAAGTAAAAGTATAGTATGGAGACGATCTTAACACAACCATGACGAATTTTACCCAGTTATGAATCAACCAGAAAACAACTTTTTCAAATGAATAATTTGTGGAAAATATCCAATAATATTACAAAGGGTAAACAGATATTTACATTAAAAAATTGTTCAGAATAAACAAGACCATTAGTTCGAATTTATCGATTGACCAAACAATGTGGTCAGTGAATAAATCAGTTTCCCACCACAGTAGTTTTCTTCCTTGCAACTACAAAGTAGTCACGTTCTGTTGTAATAAGTAGCAGATAGAATTATTTTTCAGTCATAACTCACAGCCGTATTGGTAGCAGCAATGAGCACTTAGGTCAAGTCACAACTTTGACAAATTAGTCTTGTTTAAAGACATTAAAAGAATTATAGCAACTCACGTGCAATTGAGTTTGTTCACATTTAATTCGGTTAAGTCATTTTTTAATTTATTAACGAACTGAGTCATCCGTACAACAATACATATCTATATCATTGTTGTGAATGTATGGACATGTATGCTTGAGTATTGCTTGCTGCCCACGCATTTATTCACGCTGCTAGCCTTACTACTAACCGCTCAATTGATTCGATGATCCATTCATTCCACCATATATATATATATATATATATATATATATATTTGCTATTCATGTTCATTACTCTCGCTTAAATGTACTCACTTACTCGCACTCATGTTCGCTGACTCACTCGCTTGCCTTTCGGCACAACTCTTTCATGTTTGTTTTACGCACCTGTAATTTTGGATATTTGTGCGTGTGGTCCCATAATAAACATAATCAACACTTTGTATTCGCCTTCTGATTGATATACTGTTGGGGCGTTATCTAGTGACGGTTATCAAGACGAACTGTATACGAAGTTTAAGGATTATATGGAATACCGACCACCACAGAATCTCTTGAAGTTAGGATTTGGAGTTAAGGACAAGGTTGGCTTGAATGCTAAAAACAACCTGCACTGGAAAAAATCTGGGCAATTGATACACTTAAAACTAGTCTTTACCTCATGATCGTACGAAATATTTCCCATATCATTTTAGACGTTCTGAACGCGAAATAATTGTATCTCTACTTCAATATTTACGTGATATTAGATATTAGACATTCAGTTTTGACTCAAGCGCAAAAATTCAAAAGTCTTTATCTCGGTACTGATTGGTCCATCCGTGTATGGTACAATAAATACTTTTACAGAACAAGTATTTGAACCTAATTATTTTCAACTTTCAAAGTAAATGTCGCTATTGTTCAATTTAGTTTCAATATACAATACACTAAAAACGTACTTAACGTAATAGTTAACAAAAATGAAGTGCATATACGTGGTTGAGGTTCACATGTATAATAATCTGATATATTTTTAGGGTAGACGTTTGTTTTAATTTTGCTTCTAAATTCTTCCACAACTTCATCCGGTCCACGTCGATATGATTTATATGTTCTGGATTTCCGGTTTCGCATATATAAATTACGTGCATGTTGAAATTTAGCATCAAAATTTGCCAAATTCTACATTTCAGGGAAGATATAAAAAAGTTAAAGAGTTTAGTGCAAGGCTTTTCCTATAAATGATGTTAGCTAGTAAAAGCAATAGACAATAAATAATTTGATATATCGACATATAATTTACAGAAAACGTAAACGTTTCCAAACAGATATTCGTACAGTAACACCATGGAATGCCAAAATATTATTCGGTTGTGGGTTATACTGTAATTCCCAATATAAATAAAATAGATAAAACCGACAAAAAAATAAACACATATTTTAAAGAAACAAGGAGATATATCTTTATAGAACAGATGGACTGAGAAAGTCATTATCGAACTCCGTGTGAGCTAGTGAAAGATAAATTTAAAGTTACGTAACATAATTGTTCAACCTACTGATTTTAACAAATCAAAAGTTGATTGATCACTGAGTATTGGCCAGATCCTATCGACTAAATTAGACAAAGACGACATTGGTTAATACTTAATGGATCTGTGTACCTTATTACTATGGGAGGTTAGCTGTGGTTAGTATAGCTCAAAGACAACGTCCTAGATTATGAAACTGGATAAAGTGGGTCCGAATTCACCAGGGAGCATCAGTCTCCTCAAGATTGTATGTATCACTTACTTACAAGAGCCAACTCTCAAGACACTTATGTCCAGGGCCTTCGTGATTATTAACCCCAACCACATAACAGGAATCAAATACTTCGTTAAGTGTCACGTTTCCTTACACAGCAAATACTTCATGACATGGTAGTATTTCGATTTGAAAATGTGTTGCAAACAGGAAGAAAAACATTTTTTAGCGTTCAAATTGACTAGATTGTATTACCAACCGATATAAACACTTTAGAACTATATCTGTAGATCAATACTGCATCCTACACACAAACAGCTAGAACAGTTTATCATCCGTAACTCCTTGTCATTAGTGAAACAAACCCATTCTAAATTATCTCTCTATATGAATTACTTTACCTGTAATTTTCCCAGACTGGAATAATCTACCACAATCTATCCGTAAGATGAAATCACTCCCATCCTATGTTTGCTGCTCCTCTGAAAGTGTACTACATGTTCTAGCACCTGTAAGTGTATCTTATTTCACAAGTGAGATCATAGGAACTTTGAATGTTTAACCATTCTTGTTACTGAATTCACTAATTAAAATCATCTACTTACTGTTACTTTATGTCAACACCGTCTCTGGCTAATTTGAAGAAATCTTTAGATCAGAAAATAACCTGACATATGTATTATGGTAGACCCAAGTAACCTATCGTAATAATTATTGCCGTTTTTGTTACGTGTTCTCTGCTTCTACTTTATTTCCTATAGTTATAGATGGTTATAATCAATCCGTTATGGCGCAGAAAATGACCTTAAATGTACTGTCCATACATCAACAGTATGTCCACCTAAGAATTGAAAGTTCTCGGTAGATGCATTTCATTAATGTAATACATTTCATAAATGTACTGCCTAAACAATTTTTTAACTAGTAAACTTAAGACAATATTATACCAGATGTTTGTTCTCTGCATTTAATGTTACTATTTATATCAAGCTGAATATGCCTCTAAACTGGCATGAATTCTGCAATTATTATACATATATGATCTTCAGTTCACTAATTCTCAAAAATTGATTTAAAGTATTCAACAACAAAATGAACACAAACCTAACGAAATTTATACACACGATAAACTAATCGAAGCCTAATTGGAAATTTCATTGGGCTAATTGAAATATAGATACGATGAATTTCATTTGGATAAAGCAGAAACTTGTCAAGCGTGAGATAAATATCATCGATGGCAATGGACGATAGTTGTGTAATATCGTGAATTGATTGAGGTTATAAATGTAAACCACTGGATTTCAACCGAGTGACTTGAAGGTTGAGCACTCATCGTAAGGCTGCAAGACCTAGAGGTTCGACCACTCAGTGAGTGTGCTACTGAGGAGTCCCACGACGGGACGAAACGGCCCTTTAGTGATTGCTTAGCAAAATTCATTGTGATTTGAGAATTAAAATCCAATAACTTCCGTAACACACTGTTGTGAGGAATGGAAGTAAATTTCAATCTCTAAGACTTACATCGATTTTATCTGTTTGGACCAAGCAATTACTTGCTAAATATCGATCATACTGTGATCGAGTTTCCTGATCGCGAAGTAATTCATAGGCAGCCGTGACTAATTGAAATTCTTCCTTCCTCAATTTCTCCGGATTAGTATGAAGTAATCGGTCTGGATGTAAGCATTTCGACAAATCATAATAAGCGGATTTAATTTCGCTAATAGTTGCAGATTGTTTTACACCTAATATATCATAAGCATTATATTTCTCCAATGGAAAATTGGATAGTGAATTGCATAGACATAGTCGAAGAAATACAGGACGTAATAATATGTTGCAGTTGAATGATAAAATTTTGACGATAATTGCAGTGTTGGAAATTATATAAACATAGATATAATTGTCTTAAAAACAACTTTTATTATACAAAGTTGTTTATCACCTCTTTATCTAAAAATATTAAAAAAAATTAAACCAAAATTACAATTCCAAATATAACCATGAAGTGTTAGTAAGCGACATCACCAAACACAGTAATATAATACTATGAAACATGAATAAAATTCATACTCATCTAGTATATTCTACGACTTATGTTTTTTTAAACAATAACTACATATACTTACTTACCAAGTAGGATTTTTATGCAAAATGTTTCATATCAGCTTATTTGTGATCTATTAATACTAACCGCATAGCCAAACCAAGCAAAGTAGAAGGGAACAAACAGAAATAAAATTCTCTCAAATCTTTCACAAGCCTAAAACCCTTCAGATCTCGAGTAGTTAAAATAAGTGCTGAGAATAGCCGGGTATGAATCACAAAAATAATGAAAATATACGATGCCACTGGAAATATAAAACAAATTCAATTGTTTGGATGTCTATAATCGTTAATTTAAGCTCCAGTTTATACAATCAAAAAATAACTGGCAATTTTAAAGTACTTTCAGCAGTTGAAATGAAATGTGATTTGAGGACTGTGAACTTCTATTTAATAAACCCATTCAATCAATGTCAATATAAAAGTAAAGACCCATTTGTGTAGATAACTTGTTCATTATATCATTAAGCAATAACAGAGTCGTTGATCAACTGTGAGAACCAATAGTATTTACTTCAACATTTTAAACACAGGTGACTCTGAAGGTGAATGAAAACAACTAATTGGGCGGTCAGACTAATTTTCTATTTTAGGGGCACTTCAAAATAATATCGCTTTAGCTTCTCTTACAAACGCTGAGTGTGAACGAAATATCTCCAAACAAAGAAATGAGATTGTTTTCAAAGGTGATAATGGTACTGGCTAACACTTAAATTGTAGCTATTTTTGTCACTTTCTAACAAATACCAGGAAACCAAATATTCATTAATCCTATACATGTTATTAGGTGACTTATTTTCATGAACACATTCGCTAAAAAGCAACTGACGTGAGTCTGTTAAAATTCACAGTTTCTAAATTTTCTGCAAACCTTTAGTTTTAGACCATCATATTCGTAGGTGATCAGTACGAATCTGTCAAAGGACTATCCTAGAGCAATGCTTTCCTCCCTGAACAGAATATATATGCAATTGATCTCTTAGTTTCAACTTGCTAGACTTTTAATACTACTTGAGTGGAGATAAAATGTGAGGCCAAATTTAACTGATAAGAAGCTACAGTATCCTCTATACAAGCCGCAACTACTAAAGGTTCCTTGGAGATAAGTGTTGTATGACCTTATAGGTTATTTAGAAGTCATGTTCCTGGAGAGAAAGAGGTCAGTATGCGGTAACTTCTACTGTTTAAGAAACTCAATGAAAAGATAAGGGCGCTTCGGGAGAACAATAGACCACACGGCGTGAGAAGTCCCATGTGCTTACACATGCTTATTCAAACATCAAAACCGTAGATGGTGGACGGTGGCGCGATTTCGTGGATTGATTGAAGTTAGACATTAACACCGTTGGATGCCAGCTCAGTAGTCTAGAGGTTAGGTGTCCGCGCGCGAGATTGGAAGTCCTGGGTTCGAATCCCGCGAGCAGGGTCGTGGATGCACACTGCTGAGGAGTCCCGTACTAGGATAAAACGACGTCCAGTGCTTCCAGGTTTTTCATGGTGGTGTAGCTTTAATCGACTCATGAATTCAAATATGAAATAACAAAAAATATGTTTATTATTAATCGTTTCTGTTATAAATTTAAAAGTACATTTGAGTAAATTTTGAGAGTCGAGGTATATTAAGCATCAAAATAGTTGGATAATTGTAATGTTCAACATAAAAATAATTGAAGATAAATCCGAATTATAAGAAATGACTGGATAAATAGGTGGCCAATTTTCGTTGGAAGTTAGTTACGGGTGGTACAGATGAAAATGTCCAAATATTGATTTGTTAATGAACAGTTGCAATGGACAAACATGACAAACAATATACTTTAACTAAGTAAACGTATCTTACTTTTTAGTTTAACTTCTGGAAACTAAATATTCTATAAAAATAAATCCAATCATACTGAATGTCATATTGCTTAATTCCCTACTTTTCTCCTTCTTGTAAAGATAGCAGTCATTCTCTCAGAAATGTTAACCAATAGCTTCATAAGTACTTGATTTTTAACAACAAGGTTAGAAACTCAAATCCTAGTAGTCCATCTACTTCGTAAATTTGTTGGTGTAGTAATCAAGAGACATTATTATAATTCCAATTCTTAGTTGACAGATCTATTTAATAGATACACTTTGTGTATTAAATAAACAATATGAAAAACAACTAATTATTAAGAGTATTGTTACATGAATCTACTGGATTTAAATTCAATGTGGAGAATAAGAGCATCTATAAATGATAAGTAAATTAAGCTAATAAAACAAACCAAGCTAACTACAAAAAAGAACATAAATAAAACATATTTTGCCAATGTATTTTTATTATACAAAATTGTAATGCGAATAATACAATACAGACTGAACTATCAAACATAAAATTCTTGAATAATAGTTATGTAATACAAAAGGGTAGAATTACAGTATATATATATATATATATATATATATATATATATATATTATCAAGCTGTACAATCGTATATATATATATATATATATATATATATATATATATATATATAAACATTTTTTTTCTTAAAGTACTAGTTCCGTGAGGAAATGTATACATATTTACAATAAATAATATATGAACAATGAGCAAATATTAACCAAATGATTTGCCAATCACAACAGTATGATCAACACCACATACTACATATTTAGATTTAATTGGAAGAAGTAATGGAACTGGGTAGGTTTGATTAACAGAATTACTTGTAATTTGTTTGCCTAAGCCTAGACAATATAAACCACCACGTGGAGCACCCCAGGCCCATAATAAACCATCATTACTTTGGACAATAAAATGATGTAGACCAGCAGCAACATAATTAATACAAGATTCACTATTTACGATAGCTGGTATAAATAAACCAGGTGGAATCAATGTTGGACGAGGTGAACAAGTAACCTTTGGACCTAATCCAATACATCCAAAGCCCCAAACGAATACCTTGATTAGATATAAATACATATAAGAAGTACAATAAGGAGTACAATGCATCATGTTTTTTAGTGATAAGAGCATAATTTTCAAAAAAATCTAAATTAAATGAAAAATAATAGTATTAAACAAGATATGGGAATTTATGGAGACTTGCTCAACTTGAAGACAGTTCTAATAATGAACAGATATGTCATTAGTTGGCGAATAACTAAAAACCAAGCAGTGGCGAAAAGTTATTTCTTTCGATTGGATTAATCTCCCAAAACCCGCTTTAGTAATAATGCTCTCTATATGTTTGTTAGGGAAACCAGTTTTGTGGATAACTCTCGAAGATCTAGTGATAAAGCTTCATCAATGTGGATCAGTCACGTTCAAAATGATATATCAAACAAACTATGATTTTACCGCAAACCTACAATCAATCACATTATTTCTCGTATAAAATATTTTGTAGATATACGCAAACAAGAGACAGGAAGGAGATCAAGATCATAAATACAAAGATTTCAATCTAAACCAAGTTGGAAATGTATAAACCTCCATGAACGATAATCCTTCACAAAAATGGGGGTGTTATGAATACGTAAACAAATGAAAATGAGAAACTTGAAACCCATTCTCCAGCAAATCAGAACATATATTTCTAATATATGTATGTATCGAGAAATTAGTTTATGATATTTTGATATATTTCTGAATTGTAAACTTCTATTTGCTAAAACTGTGATGCTGCAGCAGATTAGAGGGGAGCGAATTATCGATCGGACCGAAGACGCGCAAACACGTAGAACGACTTAGGGTTCTGATTGGCCCCGCTTCCCTATCTAGCCCAGCAATTGAGTCCAGAACGCAAGTCTCAGCCTCGGATATATGAATCATTATATTTCAAACATACTTTGTTTATATACCAGTCAATCAGACCACAACGTACCATAAAATAGAAAATAACATTGTACAATATTGACCCGTAGGAAAATAACACGTGAAATAAGTACTGACCAATAAGAAAATCATACCATGTCCAAGTCCAAGAATAGCATTAGACTTAATAGGATAATTTCTGGGATATTTTCCTGAATATCCCAACACTATTTAAAACAATAACTGTTACCGTTTGTAAGTTCAAGTAAACTAATCGAGTTTGAATCATACAGAAAAGAGTGAAGTACTTTTCTAGTCTTCCTGACGTTCTGACTGGTAGTTTGGGATTCTATGTAGGTAATACACTATTTCAGGATATATAGAAAATGTTATTGGTAAACTTATTGTATTCAGTGGGAAAGAGAAGAAATGCACAACAGAATATAGTTGAGAATGTAAAGCATTGGCTTCAAAATCAATGATTTGTAGCTATTCTGTAAGCAATAACATCTGAAGCTTCTGAAGTCGGTTTCATATATGGTCGTGAGTGAGCACTGTCAAATCTAGGAACCAGAGCGAAACAACTGTATAGTGATTCCTTCTCTAGTCAACGTAATTTCGTGATGTGAATTGTCTTTAAAGATATCTCTTACACTTTTAAACGACGTTTGTGGGGTTGTAAGCAAGGATATGAAAAAAGGAACTCAGTAGTCTAATCAACGCAATGATATTAACAAAGCGTAGAAGTCAATAGAGCCATAGTCATTTTTAATAAATTATAAATTACATGGCACTGGATCCTAAATTTATGTTATCTCCCGTTTTAATTAACATCTTTCTATCGGTGATAAAAAGATAAGTACATATGCATGGTAAAATGTTCATATTTTAATACCGCAATAAAGGTACTAGACTAATTTACCATTAACTCAGCATTTCATTGAAAATCTATCAAGCTACTGGGCTGATTCTAATGTAGGTTACTTGGTTATGAAACACACTGCATGACAACTAATGAAACTACCTGGTTACTTAAAACAAGCGAAGGGCTTTAACCGGCGACTTATTACTTAAAAGGTAGGCGCTTTATAACCACTAAACCATCGCTCAACACTAACTGATCAGTCCGCTTGTATTACAAACAGGTGGCACTTTTCAATGGCAACCATCACTTACATTGAGGTTGTAGGTACATCATATTCGAGACTTTTCATGTTAAGATTTTCAATGGAGCTGTGTATCAGAAACCATCAGATCTAGTCATTATATTAATGAACAATGATAACCATCCAGTCCAACAATAATAGAACTAATGATACACTCGTAATATCCCAAGCATAGATATTAGTCTGAAGACAGCGCTGTTAGTAAGGTACAGCTCTGACTATTCTATACTTAGTCAGTCAGCACTTAAGTTAAAATCAAAATGGAACAAACTCATTAATTGACTTTTCCAACCAATTAGCGCAACTGAACGAATTGAGGATAGGCTAGAAAATTTCTACGTACACCTGAATGTTTCTAAACGTGAGTCTTTTTAAGTTTATTAGAATACACTATTATCTCTTCTCAATTCTTGTTCTGATTAAAAAAAGTCCAGAGAAGTATACAGGTCAAGGAATACTAAGTTGTAAAAGAATATTTCATTTTCTAGATTGTTTCCTTATTAATTATCTTATATCAAAATGATCAAATATTCTACAATTAATGATATCAATATAATTTGAAATAAAAAAAACTAAATTAAATTAAAATGCAATTTTTAATTAACCTATAAAATAATTAAATTTACCTGTCCAATTTTATTAACAATACAACACATAGAACCGGCACAAGCAATTGATTGTATTTCACCTACATGAACATTATCTGAAGATAAATTAGATTCTACTGGTACAATACAATGATCTAAATTTAAGTGAACAGGTTCTGAAACTTGTACATCTTGATCTAATGGCCATATTTGACCGTATTCATTATTACCCCAAGCAAATAATTTATTTGATTCAGTGAGAGCAAGAACAGTATCACCGCGAGACGATAGCAAACTTGTTTTTTTTTTAAAAAAAGAGAACAGTTCAAAACAATTGTTACTGATAACTCGGTATAAAAATGTCAGAAATGTTAACTGTTAAACAACGTCATACAATTTTTTATAATTATCAGTAATATCAATCATAGAATTTCGCGCAGAATTAACTAGAATGTAAGAGATACCAGCAAATGAAATAGAACTGAAATAATAATAAAATAATTAGGAGTCAAATATGCATAATTAGAAGATTTAAAGCTCAATAAGTTCGAGAGATTTCAATAAGAATAGAATTAGATCCAAAAAGATCCTTATAACTTATAGAAAAGTGAAACAGTATAACTAATTATTAAAAGATACAATTTTTATCTGATGTCAATGTTTAAAAAATGATATGAAGGATGGTTTAAAATATTTTTCCTTCTGCGGCATACTACTACTACTAGATTGATATTTGAACGGTAAACAATACAGAGAATAGATCACGTTATATCAGATACACAACTCACAACCAAAAGTAAAGAACTAGAATAACGAGAGATATTAATTTACTCCACATTGTTCCAAGTAGTCAATCTCAGTGAGTTCAGATTAGAAATCAACAAGAGGAAAGGAAAATACATAGTTGAGTCAGTAAGTTGGCTACATGTTTGTCCACACTCAATGGCCAATCGCGTTCTACTCTCACTACAATACATTTTAAAAAATCAACAAAAGGGTTCCAGTAAATTACTAGACTAGTGGCTAGCTTGTACTACAAAACAAATCACAGCAATGAACTTGAATTTACTCAGTAAACATGAGACTATAGTTTTAAAGGTTTTTTTTTATGATTTCATCTAAAGCTGTTGTTCTATAAAATGATTTGCTCACACTTATGGCACGAGCTTTTGTATTACGTTCTGAATCAAAATGTATGCATGAGGACTAATGACATTATCTATCCGCCCGAACCGAAGTAGATGGAACAGAATTTGAACTTACAACCACTTGGTTGGAAGCTAAATTATATTTATTTATTTGAACACATAAATATTGGTACAAGGGGGCACCAGATATATATGCGTCACACAAAACAATGAAAATGGGAAGAGAAAAAGAATGTAAGGTGGGTATAAGAAAAAAAGAGAATAATGACCACAGATTAGTGTATGGTAGTGTAATAATAATGGGGGAAACGGAAAGGTACAATCAGAAGAAATCTTTCAGTTAAGGGAGAAACAACCATTTTTTATGAAGAAAGTAAAAGAAGGTTACAGCAGGATCGCCACTGGCTTCTATTCTGAGCCATATCTGATAAAGTCCCTAACCACTTTTCGGTGGGATGGTAGCTAGCCTGGAAGCTAGCTCGGTTTGATACTTACTTGCGACAGACGTTGCATCAATTTACTGGCATCAATCCGTTTATGACGATCAATAAGTTGGCCACTGAAAAGTAAGGTAAGATTGGCGCAGACCAGGGCATGATCAAAATCCAGATAGGTACTCCAAAAAGAGCGGCAGTCTTGTACACAACCACGCCAGCGGTAGCTGATCGCGATGTGATCAATCTGAGTTCAGGCTTGAGATGCAGAGGGAGGACGCCAGGTGGCACATCAGCGATGACTATGCCGGAAGTTAGCGCTAGCTAGAAACAGGTTGTGGTCTGTGCACAGTTGCAGTAGACGGTCCCCGTCCCCGTTATCTGTCCTGCGACCAACAAGTCCCCATCGGCCACCTTAACGACTCTCTTCTGTGCCTAGACGCCCGACCTGAGCATTCAAGTCTTCGGCTAGTACTACAATATCTGTCAAACGCACTTTCTGGAGAAGGACAGATAACTGGTGGTAAAACTCATCCTTGATTGCATCCGGGCTGCAATCTGTCGAGGCATAGGCGAAGATGACGAAGAGACATCGTTTCTCACGCCGATTTCTTCTCACATTGATGGAACTTTCTAATCTAACAGCACATAGCCGACTGTTAATGGGGATCCAATCGATTAGTGCTGCCTTAGTGAGACACCAACGCCAGCAAGGCCAGACGCACGTAAAACAAGCCTTTCGGAGCGACAGATAGGTCTTTGCAAATGTTTTAGAGTTCTCGAGAAGCCGATTACATTAGCAATGCTCATAATAACTATGTACCGTCTAAATAACCTTGAGATATAAACAACTGCTGTTTATTATACAGGTTGACAGATGCCTATTTCAAGGTATTACTGAACGTGGGGTTCAAGTATGTCATTGTGCCGGATGTACAAGACTTATAATAGATTTTGATGTGTTTAGCACGAAGAAACCCCGTACCTCTTGATTATGGTCAGTAAACTGTAAGCACACCCTTGCTTACATGGCCATAATGTTATATGGGATAAAAAATAATGTATGGACAATGAATTGATGAGAAATATTTTGTTCACAGTCTATGAACAAGTACGATATAAAGTGCTCTATGAAGCCTAAAATTTATGAATTTTAAACATAAACACCGGGTTAAACTGAGTAAAGTTTTAAGAGCTTACCAAACACGTTCATTCACCAATGAACCTTTTACAGCAGTAAATCGATCAACCACATTATAATGACCTAAACCAGTCTGACCATCTGATCCAAGTCCACAGGAATAAACAACACCGTCTGAGCTGAGTAACAAGGTATGGTCTTGACCACAAACTAACTATGAAAAACAGCAAAGTAAAATATGAAGACCTTAGTAAGTAATTTTTGCGATGCTAGGTTAAGTGCAACGTAGACAGTGATCATGAAAATATGGTAAGGAAGACGTTTTGTTCCCTGAGTTGGATGGTTTGGTCGTGGGGCTTTTATCGTTATTCTGAACGACATCATCAACGCAGACTTCAGGTAGAAGTGAAGTGTTCGAATTTCTCCACATATAGTTCACAGCTTGTCCCATAGACCTCGATCTTGATGATGTCGTTCAGAATAACGATGAAAGCTCCACGACCAAACCATCCAGCTCAGGGAACAAAACTCCAGCAAAATCATCCACTTGAGCTACAAATCTTCTCCACCATAGGAAAAACATTGTTGGGTAGTTTCTGTTTATCGTGAATGCAACTGTTTGGTAGTTAACTAAAAGACCAAAGTCCAATATGTACTTCATATGAAATGTTAGCATAAAAATCTACAATCGTGAAGTAGTCGTTTATCCGTAATTCTCTTTCAGTGGCCCGTTGATCTGACTCCATTTAGATCGTACGAATGTTCGTTATCACCTATCCTCGTATACAATTATCGACTTAAATCACGTTAGTCAAAAACGGAATTTAGATAAGTCAATTAACGAGAATGGCCTTTGAATACATATATTCTGTATGTAAAGTGAATGTGATAGAACAAAGCAAAATGACGCGCAGAGGAAATGCCTGGCAAGCCAACTCATTTCTGGCCAGGTGTTACTCAATATTTATAAGCAGACAAAATAAACTACAGACATGTGATGAGACATGGGATATGAAGTGTGCACACAATACGCTCATATAAAAACAGTCAAGACTGATAAGCGAATAATTAACAAGGTCAAAATATGACTCAAGTAGAATGAATAGATTGGTTTGTCCAAAAACTAGAATAAGATATATTATGGGCTTAAAATAATGACTGATACTACACTCTCTACTATTCATTTGACATGAGGTTTTGTTTTATACACATCTTGGAGACTCAATTCTAATAAAGTATCGTCTTAAACAAGTTTATTAAGGACACACATTGAGGAAGGCGCCCAAATGCGTTACAAGGCAAGCCCTCACATGGAATCCTCAAGGTCAAGGGGAAAAAGGAAGACGAAACGGAGACAGACATGGAGAAAAAAACAAAAATTGGATAGGACTGGAAAGGAAGGCCCAGGACAGAGTGGGTTGAAGAACGCTGGTCGGCGACCTATGCTCCATTGTAAGTAACAGGCGTAAGTAATTTAGTGCTAAACACATCTGAAGAGCTAAACTGGAGTATCATCTTTATACAAGTTTTGGCTGACAGCATTAATTAAAGGCAAACTAAAGAGTGAAATAGGATGTATAGAACGACTGATTCAGTAAGCTAACAGTAAAAATAAGCATTATGACAGACGAAAACTGATTATTGTCAAAACTATTAAAAGTGACTACAAAGTCGAAACTATGGACAGAAATAAATGGAGACTACGGTTAGTCAAATATGACCTAATAATTACATACAAATTCAAAGTGCAAACTAACATAAATTTCTCAACATACTTGTTTGATAGATTTTATTTCTGGTGGCAAGACTATTTTTGTTATAACTTCTACATCACGATCGTACTTTTCGCCAGGAATTATTTCTCTTCCACACTGCCCAAAAACATTGTTACCCAGGCTGAAAACAAGAGGAGGTGTATCACTATTCGACTCTTTTAAATTTTCATAGGATATAATAGTATGTGCTCGACCACATGCCACATGAGAAGGACGATATATTTGTTTTTGCGTATTATCAAGACAGATGGCAATTCTCACAAGTTCAGGAACAACATTTACTGAGTTGCCTGTCGGAAGTTTGGTTTTTAATCCAACTGACTAAAATGAAAGGAAAATTCTTTAAATAATACTAAATCTTTACCATAGCCTGAAATCAGTCAATATAATAATGCTCGTCTCCAGGTGTGAATCGAAACCTGTAAAAGTTCCCATTTGATTTTTAGGTTTTATCAACTCCACGCAACGTAATAAAAGTGTTTTCTCTGTTTCGAAGTGACATAAATGCTTGGGAGCACATACAAAATTGAGCCACAAGATCAACTTGTGACCCTAAGTTTAAAATCTTACAAAGAATGTATGAAAACACTAGATCTATATCCCTTAGAATGTAAACAACTTAGGGGAAATCTCATAACTTCTATACCATAAACACTCCCATACATCATGTGCAGCAATTAAATTAATTGCTCACATTAACCATGGAGGGAAGACCCGTGATTTGGATTTCTAACATACCGGGTTGGGATGTATCCATCTATCTCACTCTAGAATTAGTCGTCTTAGAACTTACTGCCTCACCCAAGAAACTTCGTCAGAATCTTTGAAGCGAAAGCTTTATAATTTCTGAAAGATTTAATGTGAGGTTTTACATAGTCTGACATAACAACTTCCCACAAAATAGACCCGACGACGAACGCGAATAGACCATATCACCATCGGGGATTGTTACGGAAGCTCAATGGAAGACTGACGTTTATTCTAGAGCACGTGTGCAGACTCTGGTCATACTTTGTGAGAGCGAGTTTGAGTTATAGTAGATACAGTAGAGGAACAGCAGGAATATTCCCTATAGCTCAGCCTAACGACGAGAAAGTCAAAACTGTATTACAGGAACAAATAAAATAATTAATCATCAAAGTTGTGTTCACCTCAAGGTAGGTTGGTATAGTATTCAAGCAGATTTAATGTTTATCTTCTGTGTTGCGTAACTTACTGATACCGATTTACTGAGTATTTCTGCTTGTTTTCATATAACTAGGTCTTTACCTGGAGGTATCGATAATCAATTGATGCTAGACCGGAAAGATCGTGAAGCCAAAGATTTTTCTATTATAACTAGGATCAACTGAAGTGGAAGTAATGAAACTCACTAATTACATATAAGTCTTACACAAAACTTCATGTCTTACTTAGTCTGTAACTGTCAACTTCACTAAACGAGTGCACAAAACTTGATAGATGGAACTTTTTGAAAATCTAGCTTTTAAACTCATGAGTTACAGCTCTATTAGCGTACATTAATCTAAACGTGAATACTATAACGTCTTTAGCAAGTGTGGTAGACGATAATTATCCACAATCTGTTCTCTAAAACGATGACTCACTACATCGTGACCCAACGAAACCCTAATTAGGGATGCTATAAACAGAATTTTGATCGATGGTTTGAGTGCTCACTAACAATGAAACTATAAATACTAGGGCATGATTCAAGTGAGTGGTTATTTATTTTCAGTAATAAAGTGCTCCTTACAACCACTGAACAAATCAAAGTGGTTTTACCTAATAGCTCAATGTTTTTAGTAGTTTTATGGAAAAACCTAAAAATATCAGTAAAACTCCGAGAAGATTGATTTGCAGTCAGTAAATGTCAAATACCAACAGATGGTGTGGCTTAATCTCAGTGAATCAGTCATACGCAACGTAGAACCTCGTACATATATGCATCGGTTCAACTTGCCACACTATATTAGTATAATGTAACGAAAATGTCAAAAATCAGAGTAAACACAGACAGTATGTTTGAGGAAATAATGAGTTCGCGGGACCAAAAGGCATGAGGTGATTTTGGATCTTGTAATAGTAAATGTGGACAATGAAAATCCGCATACTAATAATCCTGTGCTCAGTAGTGACCAACTTCTGAATGGAATTCAGAGTTCGAATGATAAGCCATGCGGTTCAACCATGTCGAGTACAAGATAGTTATCCACCACTGGCAATGAAAGATGATCGTATGATATCGTAAATTGATTGAAGTTAGATGTTCATCGTTAGGTCCTGGTTGTTGTCAAGAGGTTAGGCGTTCGTGCGGTAAGTCGAATGTCCTGGGTTTGAAACCCTACGCTGTTCGTATTGGTGTGCTCTTGAAGAATCTCATACTAGGATGAAACAGTCATCCACTGCTTCCTGATTTTCAGTCACGGTCAAACTTAGAGTAGTTTGTGAGAACCTAATAGTCTTGTCAGTCAGTCAGTCATCTAAAACGTAGGACCAGGCACATATATGCATCGGTTCATGTTGTCATACCTCATTAGCACAACAAGATGAACACCAAATTCATAGTAGTTAATTCAATGATAGTAATATATAAAAGAAAGATTGTGTATAAAGATATAATACAGGAAGAAAGAATTAGTTGGTAGAAAGAAAGATATAAGGCAATTTTAGTCTACCAGTTTAAAGGAAGATAGAAAGTTTATACACCTACGCCATTGTGATCGGTTCTGAGCCATGTCACTCAGAGTCTCCAACCATTGGTTACAATAGTCGCACGGACCCCGACTAAGTAGTCTTCATCTACCAACATGGCTCAGACTACAAGTTAGTGACTTCAAGCACTGATGCCACGTTTTGGTTTGACCGTCCCTAAATTTCTTCCACCCGTTTCCAACACTAGTCAGTATCGCGCGTCGTGGTAATCGGTGTTCAGGCATACGTCATGACACGTGGTCGAACCATCTTAGTCGATAAAAATTTACAACCTCATCGACTGATTTACCATCATTCCCTAATACTTTGTGTCAAGCCTCACTTCCCAGCAGATGCGAGCAATATTTCTAAGGCGTCCTTGGCCAAATACTAGTAGCTTACGAGTATCTTTTACACTTAATGGCCACGTTTCGCAGCCATAAAGTAAAACAGAACGAACTGACGCGTAGTATACTCATCCCTTAATTGGTAGACGCACATCTCGCCCTCATCATAGGTGGTGACGTAAGTTGGCAAAAGCCAAATGAAATTTTCAAATCCGTGTTGAGATTTCGTCAGACACCAATGCATTTGGGATAATCAGACTTCCAAGATAAGTGTTGTCGACGCGTTCGACTACTTCACTCCCTATGATTAGTTCAGGTGTTGACGCAGACTAGTCCTGAAGCAGCAGCTTACATTTAGAGGAAGAGAAGCGCATTCCTAACATTCTGGCATTGTTTCTTAGTGCTACCAAAAGACTCTGCATTTTATCAGCGTCTTCACCAAACAGGACTATATCATCTGCGTATTCTAAGTCGATAAGTGGACCTCCTGGAAGGAGATCAATACCCGAGAATTCAGTAGACGAGAATGTTATTTCCATCAATAGGTCTATGATGAAGTTAAAAAAGAAATGGGGAAAGTGGACAGCCTTGACGGACACCACTTGAGGTTGCAAAAGCAGATGACAGTTCGTCATAAGCTCTGACTCGACTGGTAGTGTTCGAGTAAAGAGCCTTCAAAAGGTTTATGTACTTCTGAGGTACGCCTTTTAATGACACACTGCCACAAAATCTCGCGGTCTACCGAGTCAAATGCTGCTTTTAAATCAAGAAAGACCACCATTGTCGGACGCCGATAAGTATGCCTATATTCTAGAACCTGACGAATGGTGAATATGTGGTCGATGCAGACACGACCAGGTCTGAAGCCAGGGATGAGGGATCTAATAGTCTTGTAGCAAACGCGTTCTAATTTCTGGACAGGTTAATCATTCACTTTTTTCTGGTTATTTTGTATACCGATTCTCCTGAGCAGCGTTTAAAAAATATGAGCCAAATTCTTAAGTCAATGGTATAATTTCAATATGATAGGTTATTTCGTACTCACATTTTGTCGTGAACTTTAACCAGTGCATACATATATTTTATTTATTTATTTGAACACAAATATTGGTACAAGAGGGCACCAAAAATATATGCATCACACGCGTACATATATGTATATGCTTGTTTGACGACCTCCCATTGGATCCGAACACTATACTTCAGTTTAGACACTTTTTACATACACGTACGGTGATTTATACTTATATACTTAAATTTCATTCATACACCCATTCTATTTTCCTGATCGCTTTGCTTGAGGACAAGCTTGTTTGGAATATAACACAGGTAACAAAACGTTGCATTGAGACTTATTTATTATTATACCAGGAGCAAACGTTACCACTGTGTTCAAGTCAACAAATTATACGTCGGTAACAAGGATCGAGCAAGACACAATCTCCACAAACCTCCTATGCTAGGAAAATGCATTGTGATGCTCCCAAGACCAGCTCGATAATATATTGTACCCACATGCATCATAAATATTATTTAAAAAGGCGACATATTAAAAATCAATGAAGAGAACAATCATTTTAAGAAAATGATTAGATAGAAATGTGCAAATTCTTGGTTATTTACAAATTCGTATACCCGGCTTCGAATCAAACGCAATATATATGGATACTAAAAAGAATGACTGGTATTATCTACACCACTTAACGATTATTTATATCGATGAATGAAGTAGAAGTGGATATATGCTCAAACACAACTCAGCCAGTTGATAAACCTGTGAAGAGCTGCCAGAAAATTCCGATAAACCTCCGAAACGAAATTTCGGTATACAACTAAAATGGTTACTCAACATAACTATATTTTCGAACAGACCGGCTACTGAAAAATGAGTTTTAGAAGCCCTTTACGAGGAGAAAGTGATAGGAAAGTGTAGGTCAAAATATGTCCATCTGCTCCACGTAGTGTGGATTAAGTTAATCCTCCCATACTACGGATATCACGACCCATAAATACACATAAAAGAACTGATAAGTGAATCAAAATGAATGTCCGGTTCGCTTTCTCTGGTGTTCAGGCGCACTATTTTTGCAAGGCTCTTCTCTTTTCTTGAAGTACTATATGGATTTCTTCCATATGTTGGACGAGGATAATTTACTAACGGTAAGAAGCGAACGGGAACAAACTAAAAAGTTATCGTTCCTAAAAAGCACTTAACAGTCAGAGCAGAATGACAAATAAATAGCGTTAATCCGATGAATAGTAGATAAAGACTGCAAAGATTCACAATGTGCCTCAACAAAGATGATTCACGAAAAAGTAATGTGCATCTAAGCTGTGACGACTAGTTATAATCAGACACAATGCTCTTGAATGACATTTTCAGTCGATTAAAAAAACGAACTAATAAGATAGTGGTGACTAAATATAATGATGTTCGTTGGCGAGAAGTCATCACTGGACGCTTAATAGTTTACCAGTTCATCATATTTCGTTTAGGCTCTGAAAGCCTGATTTTTCACTTATGAAATCATGGATATTGCAAAATAGACAACCTGTGATCCTAATTGGCCATCACTGTTGATCCCACAGCCGTAGACGCCAAAATCCCCATGACTACCTCCACATATATATGCTGTGAAGCCATATCCACAAGCAGCTTTTAACGGAACACCTAAAGACGACGAATATTTCAAAGGCGTAGGCCGTGATACACCTCCAACACCAGGTTTACCTAATTAAAATACCAGAAAGGTTAACATAACAAGTACAAACCATTAAGACCAAGATATTTCTCATTACCGAGAGCTCCAGTTGCTGAGAAACCAAAAACGTAAACTTGCTTTGACTTCAAGGACTCCCTTGAATGGACATCATAAACTACAGAATCTCTGCTTCTTTGTCGATGAAGTGATTTCTTAGATGCATGGGCTACACTCAGGGTCCAAAACGAATTTCTCGAAACTACCGCGAGCAAAGGTCGAGTCATTTATACTTCGAGCCTCAAAATCTGCCTGGTAGAAGAAGAGAACTGCTCGTTTAGATCTTTAATTATTATTATTATTATTGATCAAAGAATGGTATAATTATTTCTATATTGTATTAATTTTGATATCTATTACTCATACCTGAAATCTTAAATATGTACATGTTCAATCTTTCCGTGTGCACTAGAATTGTATGAGTATGTTTCACACAACTCAATCAACCATTAGTTCTCTCTGTCCGACTTTTAGGCTACGTTTGCTTGTTTTATACTGTTATGATAAACCAATTTATACTTCACCTTCTTGGTCATTCTGATTTACGTATTCGGTAGTGACTATTGTCTGCTTTCAGACGCTATTATATGTCGTGGACATAAAGTTTTCGTAGCAGATAATGTGATAAGAAATTGTGAGTCATGTGAACCTTTAGACTGGAAGGGCTATGGCATTTTTTATTGAAGACTGGACAAACAAGAAACACGTAGAACAATACCCCTCAGTGTCCACAGGACCTGGGTAAGAGTCGAGCCTTCTTTTGAAGAATTTTACAGAATATGCCATCCCCATAACTTCGGACGGAAAGTTCCGGAACTTTCTGATGTTGTCGGTGAAAAGTTTATATGAAATGTCATACCAATCCTTCATCTCCTGTCCTCAACGTGTGTTTTCTTAAATCTGTTTTAATATTGAAAGTTGTAAGTAGTCTATTGGGGGTGAAGGTGACCTTAAGGAGCGTAATATACCATGGTCACACCCTTTGATCCATCTGTACTAAATAGGTTGCAAATTTATAACCTACATGCGATATGATACTACTTTATTTTTCATTACGTGTAACTTTTTGGTTGCTCTTATTTGAACTTGTATACCGTAAATAAATCCATAAGATAAATAGTCTTTGACTTTGATACTGACCTCACTAGATTTACTGGATACAATTAGCTAAGTTCGATCGATTGCGCATCTGCATCAGATCGCATCACGCATCTATTGCAACTAACAACCAGCATAAACCAAATGCTTCTCGACATATCAGTAGCTTTCCAGACACATCTTTGAAAACCCTCTTTTCAGACGTCTGATGTGACTGAGTTTCTATAGTTCAAAAAGTCAGGGTATCAGAAGGACTTAGTATTTCCCTACACATCTTAAGATCAAATACAGATAGCAGAGTTCAGAAACTAGGGGCGAAATGTGAGTCACTAGTATTTAATGTAGTGAATAGTCTGTAGTGTCAGTTATTATGGCAAGCCCATATACCTTATTCTACATCCTATTTTATTCATTTTACCTGAGCCATATTTTGACCTTGTCAATTATTCGCTTGTCAGTCTTGACTGTTTTTATATGAGCGTATATTTATGTGCCCTTCTTATCGCATTAATCACATGTCTGTAGCTTTATTTTGTCTGACTATAAATATGGAGTAACTCTTGACTAAAATGGAGTTGGCTTCCCAACCATCTTCCATGCGTATCATTTTTACTTGGCTTCACCGTGTGCTTGCTCGCTGTACGCTTGCGGATTTTTATTATTCATTAACAATAAATTATATCTACAACTGGTGTTCAGGCTTCTGAATAATCTCGAGTAAATCCGTAATTTGACTAGGAGATTAAGCCTACCTTAAATACTCAGTTTACGGAGATATTATTTATTGGAGTCAGATATTGAGGACATTAGCATCAACATATTAGCAAGCCGCCGTTACAACAAGTCTAAACATTTAACCTATTTATAGGGAATCGACGCTAATGAAATCCGCAACTCGGTCAACCTAAAATATTGTATTTAGGCTGATCGAGTTGAACCGAAAAGTCTTTTAGGTCGACTTTGTTCCATTCTGGTGAATTTAGAAACCTTGAAATAACGTTGCTTGGTCGTCCATATGCGGATTATTTGGATGAACCACTTAATGTATTAATCAGTGAACTGACTTATTTAACGTCAAATAAAATACAATAAATAGGCATCCGAACATAAGCATTGATGAACTGGACATATAAAAACGTGAAATAAAGTAAATTCAACGCAGATAATACAATTACAAAGATGACTATAAGAACGTTTCTTGTGGTTAGGAGACCACAAGAGTACTCATATTGTGTTAGCAGTGCTGAATTTTCGGGAAAAATATCTTCGTAAGTACTTTTTTTACCAACTCAATTTTACGCACAACATCTGGTTTTCCTTGATTGATTTTCCTTGCTTTTAGCTTGCTAGACTTCTATGTCCTTGAAAGTAATATAGATGTTTATGAAGTCGTGTCGACTCATGCTGTATTGCTTTTCCAACTTCGAATATAGTGTTTTTGACAGATCATCTCTCTATGTTAACATTTAAGTGTTGATACGTTGTGTGTAAGTTTCTGTCATTGCTTAAAAACTGAAGCTATCAAATTGAATATCGTAGGTCTCTAATAAACATTGAAAAAAACAAGATGTAACGCGTAATTGATAAGCAAGTGACCAATACTTAGCTTTAAAATACTGTTTTGTAAACCTGTTCTCCAACTCCGCCTGGAGTCCCTCCGGAGGCTACTGCCGGTCCCAAGCCCGGATAAAGGAGGAGGGTTGGGCATGGGGTTAGCGTCCCCATCCCGTGGAAAACTAACTCGCTAAAAAAACGCTAACCAGAAAAAATTATTCAAACCTTTTAACCTCTGCCCTGGGAGTCAGAAGGTCTTCATTTAGAAGAACTATGACGCCTCATGATGAAAGCCGAATTCCTTCGGAAGTTACGTTGCCGATGCCCCTTCTGACAACCAGAACGACCATTTATTTAGGTACATGGAATGTTCGTACAGTGTGGGACACCGGGAGAGCCTGTAGTGGCATTGGACCATAACCACACAATCCTCAAAGCTGAATACGAGATTACTCAGAAAATAGATTTTCAATATTTAACGCGAAGAAATACCTAACGATGGAGAAGGCGCGACTAATGAATTGAATAGACTAGAGTTGATCGAACGGCATGGCTCGGCAATGCAGGCGTGGTCTCTGCTGAATGTTACCTTATATCTTCTATTCATATTAAATATATTGTTCTTTCTCTAGCCCAACCTTGTTCTACATCATGTATTGGTAATTGATACGATACAGTGAGTTGGTGTAGTCGATGGTGTGACTTCCACGTAAGATCTTATAGATTAGGCAGTCATATCATGACAAATCTACAAATTTAGGATTAGGTCTATTATTAGAGCAGTACTAATATCACAGTAGCCCATAAGTTATACATTGGTGAGCCCAACTAAAGAAACGCGACCTATTATTGCTAATCCTTATTTCCACCTTAACCTTCTCAATCGGTTTTTATTTGTGTAAACCCATTATTCTAATAGTCCTCTGAATAATGCCCACGTGTATTATCGTAATGTTAAACTGATTACTTCTCATAACGTACTAGGTCAATCGATAATAAAAACTGGTCGTCTAAATTAACTAATTAGCCTTGATGGTTCGTTTACAAGCTTTAATAGCATTTACATGCTTCAGCGACAAAAACTTGTTTAAACATCAAGATCTAGCAAATATGACCTGTAAAAAAAATATACATTAGCTAACAATGCAATCAAGGATTGAATAGTTATCTGGATCTAATTCTTAGTGTTTCTTCGCTTAACACATCCTGTTTTAAACTATGCACTATCCTGTAAAATCTTTTCTTCCGACCACTGCCTGCCTAATTTCATATTCTCGAGTTCCATTGCCAAACAACAAGGATGACACTTCTCTAAAAACATACGGTGAGTTTCAGCCATAAGTTTCCTGCAATCATAAGGTCATTTTAGATGGCTCGTTCAATGGCTGACACAATTATCTGGATTCATTCGATTGTTTTGATCTGAGCGAGTGGCAACAGCATCAAGCAACCTGGAATTAATTGCCATACTGCATGTTTTTATTGTGGATACTTTTGGATCATTACTCCTCACGAATGGCGTTATATATGTCGTCCACTGAATAATCTAATTTTCAAAAATAATCCAGGCGAGTTCAACTATTTTACTGGATGATTTTTCTGTACTTAACATGTATATGTTTTCCAGTTGTGTTTGCCACATATTTATAATTATCTTTAGGCTAAATGCAGTAACTTCTTATAGAATGTTTATAACGCATCATATTCCTACCTGAAGTTTCACAAGCCGTCTAAACTTTAAAATTACTTGTCTGGTCATGTTCATTATTTTTAAATCGTCATATACGTCAACAACCTGCATGTTAGCCTGGTTCATACATACGTTACACTATATCTCCATGTCTTCTAAATTTAGAAATCATCTGGATCGCCTCTAACATTTATTAATAAACCCATCATAGTCGTTGTTGCTAATCGTATTTGGATTTATGGATTGGTTTATCATATTAGCAGTCTAAAATGCAAACATAATTTAGATAATAAGATTAAAAATTTAGGTACTATCAACTGCACTAGTAAAATTACTAAATCCTCAGGTAGTTGTTGGTTGAACAAACTTTTAAAATCAAAACTCTGTAGCCTACTAGAATTAACATTAAACAAACATTTCTGAATTGAAAGTTATAATTAAATTAGACGTCTCGGATTCTTTAACGTTATAAATTTCTGATAATTGTGAATCACCTAAAACAACAATGCCTATTTTTCCACTGGCCAATCTTCAATCAACACTATAACTAATTAAACATAATAGTTTCAGGATATCTTCATAAAGCATTGTCATGACTTGACAATCACGTAATATGATTGATAAAATTAATGAAACTATTAACAAAATAGGTCAGCAAATTGACTTATAATTATCACTAGTGTTGTTTTTCTTCATTCACTACAGATGATTACAGTATGTTTCTCTATCAGTTGCTCATTCAGTAAATATCTCAAAACTTTGTCAGTCTAATTGATGGTTTAGCGACACAATCATGCATGCAAATAATCAGTATAAGCAATCGAGCAAATATCCTGCAAACTGAAAACATCAATGTCGAATTTACCCCAACACTGACTAAGGTTC